GTATACCCATTAGATTCATCATCAGTTTTTGCCTATGTAAAAAAATTTTCACTTTATTTGAATAAAAAATAAGCATTTTATTGGAAAATGATCTTCCCCTTTTTCTATGATACCAGTAAAAACAAATTTTTTCAACAAAGGAAAGAAAAGGAAAAAAAAGAATGCGGAGTTTTGTAGCTGATGGTATGTTGAGTTGAATGAGATAAAACATTTGACTTCATCGCTTATGTAGAAAAACTTGATACGTTTACAAAAACGACTTATGCGCATTGCACTCGGTGTGCCACTGTGAAAAGATGTCGGGGTCTTAAGCCGATTTAACAACTCGTCTAGGCTCAGTTTTTGATGTTGAATCTGAAAAAAATATTTTCAGAAACTCAGAGAAAGCACGAACCGAAATATAAGGCGTATTTTGAAAAAAATGTGTTTTTTTGAAAAATACGACATACTTCGACTTTTTCGTATTTTCCGACCTGAAAAAGATATTTGTGTAAGGTAAAAAGTTGTTTTTCGTGATCAGCAACTCTCACTCTATCAAATAATGTAAACAAAACGGCAAAAAAAATTTTTACTTGAAGTTTGAATTGCCTGCACCTTACCTATAGATACCGCTATCTCTGACTGAGACGATGAAAGTTCGTAAATGAACTCGTAGCGTGGTAATCAAATACACTCCGACTGACTTTCGCCCAACATACATTCGTAAGGTGGTAATCAAATACACGAACATTGATAGATTGATTTGTTTTGATTCTCTGTAAAAGTTGCTATTTTCTTTTACATAAACAATCAAGAGGATTAGGAAATTTTCGAAAATAGCATACGACAATGTTGTTCCAGTTTCTCATTTATAGTAAAAACTATAGAGCTCAAATTTTGCCATTGTTTATTACTGATTATGTTCAATAATCTATCAAAGTTTCATAGAGTTTGCTTTTGTTGAACGCGGGAACGATCAATTTTAAAATCGTTTCAGAACTTCTTGGCACCCTTTAGAAAAGAACTCGTAACTCTCAATACTTTTTCATTATTGAAATTTGGGAAAAATAAAAGACAGTATAATACCCTCTATAGACAACATAAACGTCATGTAACTATAACGAACAAATTAAGTGAATAAAAACGCATTAAAAGATAAATATGCTGTTTTTTAAGTTGTTGTACTGAAGAATAATGAAGACGGGGAGAATAAACGATTGTTCTTCAGTAAAATTTATTTGGCTAACTAGGAGGTACGTTATTTTCAACTTTGTTCTTTCTATCCTTTCTATATCGATACTCGATTATTCCATAACCCGTCATTCCAAGTGTCAGAAAAATTAATAATATAATCAACGTGATGCGTATACGAACAAAAGGCGTTATTATATAAAAAAGAAGAAAGCCAATTGATTCCCATAGCCGATAATTGGAAAACGCCGCTTCATCCGCTGATGAAAATAAAACCCCATATAATGCTACGAAAACAGAAACAAATTACAATATTTTGCAAAAATAATTTATCACTTTTCAAAACAATTTTTATTGAAAGTAGAACAAGTTTACAATATGCTTTCACAATATTTGAAATCAGTATTTCATACTCTTTTTATCTCTCTGTTTCACAAGTTTCTCTATGTTTTTGTGTTAACCCACATTGGCTAAAATAAGAGCATATAGTTTTTGACTACGCCAAAAGTGTATGCACGGGTTGTGGCATCCGAAAGAATTGCCATACATCGGTTATCAAGGTTCTCTCAGAGCTGCGGAACATCTCATTTTGTAGAAAAATATTTCTTCTACAAAAATACATTTGTTAGAAAAGTTTTATAGTTATTTCTAACAAAACTTAGAACATTCTAAAATACACTAAATCACGAAAAAAACCTGTTTATAAACTTTCAAAACACTTTTTTTGATTTATGCTGTAAGTTTGGTTAGAAATAACTATGAAATCTTTTTAACAAATGTATTTTGTAGAAGAAACATTTTCCTACAAAATGAGATGTTCAGTAGCTCGGATGTCCCAACACCAGCTTTAACTGCTGCATACATTTTTGGCGCTGTCAAAAACTATATGCTCTTATTTTAGTCAATGTGGGTTAACACAAAAACATCGATAAAAGTTGTGAAATAGACCGATAAAAAGAGTATGAAATACTGATTTCAAATATTGTAAATGCATATTGTAAACTTCCTCTACTTTCAATAAAAATTGTTTTGAAAAGTGATGAATTATTTTTGCAAAATATTGTAACACTGTTCATTCGACCACTAACAATATGGATAACAGGACTCACTATTAGTTTGTGTTTGCCATACAGCATCACTTAGACCCCAAAAACCCGCAATGAGAAAAAGAACATAGGTTTGATTTTCATTTGGTTTCCATATTAGCATAACAATAATCAATGTATAATTACAAACGGCAGCAATTATAAAACATGGTATTCTACCAAAAAACTTTACCAATTGTCCAAAAGTCAAACTTCCAATTGAATCACATACACCATATGCAATTAAAATTAATCCAACATATTTTGCATTAAATGCACAGGATACAAAACCCTTTAGGGAAAAAAATACCCAAAGAGTAATAATGATTCAACATTTATCTTTAGTACTTGTTCTAACTTTTGTAAATTGAGCTGAAAGAAAAGATTGTTCTAATCCGGACCACATTGTTAATGGTATTAATAGAATTTGATTAAAATCTTTCAAATGTTTTACAGTAGAAACCAATAATTTAACACTTTTTTTTAACATCATCGGAATTGTATCTAAAAAATAAAACAATTTATTTTTATACATAAGATAGTATCTAGAATAATATACCTGCAGACGTTTTACGTCGTTGATCGAGAAAAATAACAACTATTGTTATTGAACATGCACAGATAACAATATAGACAATACATAATAAAGTGACCTAAATACCATCATAAAAAATAATTCATAATTATTAAAATTATAATATAGAAATAAATCAAATCAATCTATTACTGTTTTTTGATCAATTTTATTTACAACTTCAACAGCACTATATTCTTTTTCACTAAACAATGCTCCACATTTATCATATTTAACAACAACAGGAACACTTCCATTCGTTTCATTTTCGCCTATTTTATCTATTACTTCTTCCGGTTTCAAGACAAGATAAGAGATCAGATTTCCCCATATTTGACCTGAATAAAAGAGAATAATGGAAAAATCGATAATATGAAATAATTTGCATACTTGATTGAAAAAACATAAAAAATAAGCCAAAAAATCGATTAACAACAACGTCTTTATCGGAATTAGTAGATTTGGCATAATTACTCCCTGTTTCTGTTAGATATGCACATTTCGATGTCCACAGTGGTGCTGCACCCAATCCTACTAGTGCAGCAGCTGAAAATAAAACAACGGACTAAGATATTTTTTGACTTAAAAAAAACGGCAAAATTCATACCAGGATACATTAAATAGGCTTTTGCATGTAAATTTGCTGCTACGTACAGTAAATATCTAAATAGAATTGTTCTTTGATTTTCATGTTTGTTTATATACATTAAATCAACACAAACTTACGGTACTTGTGAAATAACTATTGCCCATTTTAGTCCAAATATCGATATTATTGGATGTGGAAGAAAGATTGCAGAAAATACAAGAAAGGCATATATTATAGATAAAGAGTTAACACCAACATTTGCCTCATAATTCAGTGAACTTTGTAGATTTCCAATGGCACCAAATCCAGTGAATTGTAAAAGAAATGCAATACATAATACCAACAAATTTTTATATGTGATAATTCGATATTTTTTTTGATTTATCTGATTTGGTTCATATTCATGTGTAACAGTATTATCAAGATGTGATTTTAATTCAAGATCAGATATTGATGGTGGAAGAGTATCATTAAAAATTTGTCCAACATTTTCAGCCGGATTCGACATTCTTTTCGTTTTTATTATTTTTTAATGAAAATATGATCGAACTATTTGTTTGATATATGAAAAAGAAACAATTGAGATGAGCTTAGTTAAATAGACAAACGATAAGATCGGAGTTTGTTTGACTAACACAACGAATAGACAGTCGACTACAAATAAGATATTATTTTTAAAATTAACTAAATTCTTTATATCTCGAATTAGATGTATAAAATATTAAAAGTGACAATTAAAATTGAATTTCAAGAAGTAGTATAAACTTTTATTATAGTTCAGATAAAAGAAACTCTTTAAGTCAATAAAACTTTCACATTTGCTACTGTTAAACGTATCAGACGATGATAGTTTATTAACCTTTTCTTCTCTTACAATTGTTATCAATAAAATGTCAAGGTAATATTTCAATACATCATATATTTATTCAATAAGGATGTACTCTAAATAAAAAGTAAAAGTAAAAGAAAGTATTTATTAAAAGACTTAACTGACCACTTATTCATCTTCTCATCTATGTTTACAAAAAATAAAATTGGTTTTATAACTCGAGTAAAAATTCAAGTCAAAAAGAAAAATTCAGATATCGAAATAAATAAAATTTTCGCTAAGATCGAAAAAAGTAAAAATCGTCGTTTAGATCACAGTATTCATTTGATCTAACAAACAACCGTTTTACATGCTCTGAAAAATATCCTCGAAAACTGATAAGCTTTTGTTTTAGAAGTTGATACAAAAATAAAGATCAAAGAGTAAAACTCAACTTTTTCTCATCCGCATCTATCTCTACGACTCATTTCCAGTTTGTAAGCTAATTAACTTTTTATACATTTTTCGATTTCCCATTTTG